TGCCCTGCCCGCCCGCCAGAGGTGAGCCTGCCGGGGCCGCTGCCCCGCTCGCCAGCGGTGCCGAGGGGCAGCGGCGGCGCCGCGACACCGCCCCGCCCGGGTCCGCATGGGCCTGGCGGAGCCATGGCCGCCCTGTACCAGAGCGCGGACCCGTCCGCCTCGGCCTCGCCCAACAAGCTGCTGGCGCTGAAGGATGTGCGGCAGGTGAAGGAGGAGACTACGCTGGACGAGAAGCTTTTCCTGCTGGCCTGCGACAAAGGTACCCGCCCCGCCGCCCGGCCTGGCCCGGCCCCCCCCGAGGTCTCGGCCGCTCGCTCCGAGGGCCGGAGCCGTGGCCGGGTGTCAGCCCTGCGCTGTCCTCCCCTCGGCCGGGCTGCGGTCCCGCCGTGCGGCTGCCATGGGGCACCGCGGGGTCCGGGCCCGCCGCCTCCCGCTGGCCCTGAGCGGGAAGGGAGGCGCGGGGCCGGCTCCTGCCGCGTTCGTGAGGGCATTCGGTTTGTGTGGGAGGAATCTGGGAGGTGTTCGCTGTTAAAAGTCTCTGAGTAGAGAGCTGCTGTAAAATTGGGGCTTATCTAGACATCCCCAGGATAAGCGACACCGGTATCCTGCGATTTGCACCACTGGTGGCGGATGGGAAGAGATTTTTTCTTTCTAAAATATGCTGCTTGCTTTAAGCCTATATTTAGTTGCCTTTGAGTCGAAACGTGACCTTAAATCAAACTGATCTTAAACGGTCTGGAACGCTGGGCTCCAGGGTATGCTTTTAATGATGCGCTGCGCGGCTCTGCGGGCCTGGGGCACAGGCAGGGCTGCAGGAGCTGCGGCGTTGGCGCGCAGAGCTCGGGTGAGCTCGCAGCCACAGGGGTGTTCCTGCAGTGGCATCTGCCGGCGAGCTTAGCGAGTTTGCTCTGGGACGCTCGGTGGTGCGATGCCTTGCATCTGCACAGCCCCTGCAGTCTGTCCTCAGCATCAGAGGAAGCCATGGCTTTCTCTCTTTAGCTATAGACAGAGGTTCAGAGAGCTAAAAAGCTGCATAACAAAAAAAGTAACAAAACCCAGTTGTCTGTATAACGGTTGGTTCAGCACTCTTGGTATGTATTTTACTGTATTCTACATAAACTTCTGTAAGTAGTCTGTCACTGAGATCTGTCTTGGTCATGGTCTTTTGTGTTGTGAAGTAATTTGTTACCCTAGAGACAGTTTTGGAAAGCACCCGTGCTTCTGTGTGTGGTTATTTTTAGGACTCAAACTAAAGGGGTGGATTGAAGTACATGTCCAGTACATGTCCTGAAGAGAGGTCTCCTGAAATATCTTTAGTTTTCTCCCTGAGAATGCTTATCTACCTTGACTTCTTACTTGTCTGATCCACTCAGTTAATGTTGTTAACTGTGGAATAGTGCCTTATTTGATGGCAACTGGTACTCAAAATGATCACATGCTTTCATTGCTTTATAATATGAAGTGATATCCCTGCCTTATTTCTGCAGGTGACTATTACATGGTTAAGAAACTCTTAGAGGAAAACAGCTCAGGTGAAATGAACATAAATTGTGTGGATGTGCTTGGACGAAATGCTGTTACTATAACGATTGAAAATGAAAACTTGGACATACTACAGCTGCTTTTGGATTATGGCTGCCAGGTATCCAACCTGTTATTAAAAATGTTCCGTGTAGTCATAAGTTTTCTTTGTTAATCTGTCCGAATTTGGACATAAATGTAGTCTGCCTTGCAGTAAATTTCCAGTAAATTGGAAAAAGTAATTGTGAAAGTGGTTTCTTGTCACAAGTTGACTTTTCTAGTGGAATTTTGTTGGCATGGCACATGTATAAGTAACATTTTCTATGATGTTAGCAAGTTTGAGTTTTATTTTAAATGTTATTCCTGCTGCTGATATAATGCATATATTATCCCCAAGGAAAACAAACAAACAAACAAACCATTGTTTGAGTGCCTAATATTAAAAAAGTGTAAAATGCAAAAATCCTTTTGGCTGTTGAGTATATTAACTTTTTAAATAGTAACACAGAAAAATTCACATTATATTGGTTGATTTTAAGGCAAGCATGCATTTCTGTGTTGCTTCCTTGTTAAACTTGATCTGTGCTTTGTGGCAGGGCAGTTTCCTACCAACAAGACTTCCTTAAATGAATGCAGCATCTCTGGTACTGGTGGGAAAGGTGAAGCTATAGTGAATTAAATATGTAAGACAGAGAAAAGTGGCATCTTTTGTTACATTGTTTAATATTGGACATGAATAAAACCACATTTTCCATACCTTAATTAGTGGCAGCAATAAAAACTGTGTCTTTTTCTTTTTTTTTTTTTTTTTTAAGTAAAATTCCAAATTTTTGGAAATGAATCAAGAAGAATAATATCATCTGTAGGGAAAAAGAAAAGATGCTTATCTCAGCATAATAGAAGGTGCAGAAGTGGTTGGTTTCCAGCCAAGAAGGAAAAAGCTTATTTTCCTAGCTGTACCCCAGAATTACAGATGCAAGGCTGAAGTATCCCATATGCCTGAGCTGTGCTACACTAATATTTGCTTTTAATCTGTCTAATAGACCTGGTAAACTTGGTCTTTAAACTTAACTTGTTAAGTCTTCTGCATCATCTTTGCTGGAAAGTGATTTATTCAATTGATTCTCTTCTGTTGGTGCAGTGATGCAAATTGTCACTTATGCTCTGTGAACTCCTGCAGTGGCAACCTGAATTTGTATCCTGATCATATGCCTGGTGATAATACAGAACATCATTTTAGTTCTTTAAAATTAGATTTTAAAAATATATTTTAAAAATGCAGTTTGGTTTGAGTTTGTCTCTTTGTGCTGTTTAAGTTACTGCTGTTTTCACATATGATTTGTTTTCTTTACGTAGTCCTCAGATGCACTTTTGGTGGCTATTGACTCAGAAGTGGTGGGAGCTGTTGACATTCTACTTAATCACCGACCAAAACGATCCTCCAGGCCAACCATTGTGGTGAAGTGTTGTTACTCCTTGACTTTTGGTTGGGGCTGTGAAGGCTATTGCTTTTTTGGGTATCTGTAATATTTAAAACAGTGTTCTTAAATTCTGCATCTGTGAGGTGATAGAATCTAGACACCAGGGATTATTTTTGTAACCTCTTTTGTCTTGAAAGATGACATACATGATTTTGCTTCATCACCTAAGGAATCCAGTGGCCTTATACCTGCCAAACACATGACCAGTTCAGAAGAGAAAAAAACCTAGTGGTTATAAATCTTTTTTAGTAGTCTGTTTGCAAGGTAATTAGCAGCCTTGACTTATAAAATGTTTATTCATGTATAGAAGCTTCATAGATTTTCAGAGCCAATCTATAAACATCAGACCTCCACCTTGAAATTAAGCAATTGAAGCTTA